TGAACCCTCTCTGTAAACATAGGCAGAAAAAGCTGTGCTAGATCTGCTAATGATTTTTATGTAAAAGTTTGGGAAAACTTGATTTTTCTCTACTTATTGTAAGTTTGGAATGTGTGCATATGTTGGTTTGGGGTTTTTGGGTCTTAATATTTTCGTTTAAATTGAACATCCAACCGTTATTTGGGGGCTGATTGAGGGTTTTCATATTAGGTCCAAATAAAGTAATCTTTTTTCTGTCTCTGTGTAAGAGGAATAAAACCTCAGCCTTGAAGGATTTGGTTTAGCAACTAGATAGTAATGGCAATTAAAAAAAAAAACACGTTTAAAGGTGACTTTTTAAAAAAATGTGGAAAATATAGACTTCTTCCACTAATCAAGCCCTGTATACATAAACTGTTGCCTGTTTTTTCACTAGATGGTTTGGGACTTCAGGATAATTTTTACAGGCTGCTGTTGAATTTTGCTGGTTTGACCTCTGCTAGTGGAACAAGAGAAATAAAAGCCATGTTTGTAAAAACCTGGGTGCCTGAATAGCCTTGTTTGTAAGCATGTTAATGTAAGATATCCTTACTGTATTACAACGGAGGACCTGCTAGTATTATTAGATCTGGCTGAGGTGCAACAAAGTTGGACCTAAATCAGTCTTGCAGAGTCAGCGTCTGCCTTGCTGTGCTCTGCAGCACTTTCTGTTACAGCGTTGAATATGGGAAAGATCTTCTGTTGCTTACATTCATGGTAGGGTGTTTGCAGAAATAAGCTCAATTAGGGAGGATGGATTTTATTTTCTTGAACATAAGTTAAAAATTTGCAAGCGTGTTACCAGTCTTAATTCCTCTTTGTAGCTTTTTTTGTTGTTGTATTGTGAGAACAATTATTGTCACATGCATGACAGTATTGGGAAATGAGCATTTACAATGCACAGAGTTAAAATATTTGTATTTTTATAAGTTCATGATATTTATTTGTGGTTAGTTTGAAAACAGAGGGAGATATGTGTCGGCATTCACAGTCTGAGCTCTGCATGTGCAAAACTGCATGTTGTTTTTGATGTTGCTCACATGGGGAGTTACTAGAAACAGCCTGAAGCTTACAGCTGAACCAGCTGAGTCCAGGTTGTGGACGGGTAGTTGGGAGAGGGTGAGGGGATGAATAGCTATGATAGCAAAGCAAGTGTTTTGATAGTTACTGTATTTTACAGTAAGTCTAATTCTAGGTTAGATTCTGGTCTTCCATTTTACAAAAGCTTCCTCAAGCTTATCTAAACTTGACCCAAGTCACTGAGCATACAAAATCAGCGAGAAACTTTTTCCTAGTGAGCCTGAAACTGCCAAAAAGTAGCCATATTTATTGATCTTTATCTGAAAAGAAAGTTGCTAGTTGCAAGAACAGGCTGCTGACATAAAAAGCCTGTCTTAGGTCATTCGTTTGGCTGGAGGCCAGATAATGAGTTTCTATAGGAGCTTGTTGGCAAGCCTAGGTTTTTGCTTAGGTTAATGTAATGTAACTGTAAGTAATATGGGAGCCTGGTACACTCAAAACAACTTTTAGACAAAATGATCTTATTAGTTTTCAATTATAATGGAGTAGTATTTTTATATAACAGCTTCTTGTACTTAAAGCACTTAAAAAAAGTGGCTAGGAACATGATTCTTTACTATTTCCTCTTTTAATGGTCAGCCTACTAAATAATACTTTAAAAATATTGACGCTGATGACATCTCTTTTTGCTAGCCTCTGTGTTACAGGATTTAAGCCAAATGTGTTCAGTGGAGTGATCTCTTAGTTCTTTAAAGAAAGGTTTGCATTATTAAAAGACCAGGTGGTAATGCACTTAAGGGTAGGTACATCAGTTTTACTAGTGAAAAATACCATAAATGTGTTCATGGGTACATCTCTTGACTGGGGCTGAAATTCTGTGACTAGGGCTGAAATGCATGAACTGTGCTAGGAGGAGGCTGGAGTTTAGGAAGTGTTCCCATCCAGTGTCCAACCCAGGCAGTCACACTGCTGAGCCTTTTTGAGGGCCTCATGGTTCTTTCATTGCCTGAAGGCAAAGCTTGAAGAGAATGGTTGGAGATTGATCTGTCCCAAGAGGTTTTTGTTGCCTCCCGCTTCTTTTGTGTGGTAAGTGAATGTAAATCCACTCTAAGGGGAAAACTGAATTAAGATCTGGAAACGTCCATTGAGGTGCTTTATATGCCAGGCTATGAAAAGAGGTCCAGATCCAGCCCTGGTCTTAGGGGAGTGGTGGATAAACGTGGCTTTAACAGGAGGACACTGAGAACTCCTGATTCCACCCAGGACAGCAATGCTCATCTGCAGATTTGAGTTAACTGCTCCATTGATACATGGAATGGAGATGGCTTGGGATGCATGGAGATGGCTTGGAATGTATGCTTGTCCTCCATTTGTATGGGCTGATGAGTGCTGACAAGAAAAGGAATAGCACTCTACCATCCTTATTAGTTTGTCATGTAGCTGTTTCATTAGCAGTGATGGTATGGATGATGAACAAACAAGGTCTGGTTTAGAACTTCTTTGTTGTAGGTCTGACTCGGTATGTAAAACTGCTTTAACATAGATGGAGATCTTTGGGATGGGAGGGAGCATGATAGAATTGTTCCGGTGCTTATCAGGGGCTTAAACTTCCCTGACAGCATTTGTTCTCTAGTTGCTATTAATAGTAGGGCCTAGAGGTATTTCTGGATGTGATAGCTGACAAGTTTCTTCATCAAATAGTCAATGAATGAGGAAGAAGTGTTTCTATTTTAAACTTAGCTTTGACAAGTAATAGAACTTCAAAGAAAAGCAGTTCATAGAAAATAACCTTGGTGTGAGTTACTACAAGTGGTTCTCTTTAAGTGAAAGATTAAACTCAGGGCTGCAGCATTAAGCATCTCTGATAAAGGAAGAATTCTGTGGGTTTTTTGCCAACTGCACTGTAGGGGATTTGTATTAGTTTCAAACTTACGTGTTTAAGTGAAGGGTGCTGATAAACCTTGGCAGAGGTGCAAACTAAGGCAGATTTTGAAGGGAATGATTTGGTTTGAACTTGGAGTGAATAGTTGCTGCCAAAGTGTTAGGATAAGCGCAGAATCCACAGGGAAAGATGAAGAGCTCTGTTGAAAAGAGGTTTGTGTTAGGAGGTGAGAATTGCCTCAAGTGCAAAGGCTGTGGGAGCCAATAGCAAAAGGCTCTTCTTTCTTCCTCTTTATTTATATGCCTGAAGTGATGCATGTCTAGATCTGCCTTTGCTTTTTCATCTCACATCAGTGCCTGGGATGATGTGCCATGAAGCTAAGTATGTTTTTTAATGAAGAGGAGGGCAGTGCTGACCATAGGGAAAAAAGGATTGTAACAGGAACAGGTGCCTCAAAATAAATTTTCATCACTGCAAAAGTCTGTTTGCGAGTGTGTAGCAGCAACCTCCAAATGGAATGCTCTGAGCTGAGGAACAGAGTTTGTAGGAGCGAAATTTGTAGTTGGTTTGTTGTAAACTGCCAGAGTGGTAGCTTGCTAGAGTGGCAGGATCAGAGAACTACCTTTTATTTAAAAAAAAAAAAAAAAAAAGGAACTTGGGAGCTTTGGTACAGAGCGTGATATATGTAGAGCATTGAATTGGACCAATTTAGCAGGTCTCATTTAAATTGGAAATTATATTGTGCCGTGTCTTGGAAAGCTGCCATCACAACAAGTGTACATAAATTAATTCAGCTTCCTTCTATTGTCTTTTAAAAAGCAAAATGCTTCTCTCAGTACAATTTATGATTTATAAATTAAGTATTGTTCATGTCAAATACTGTCTCTGGAAGTGAAATGTCCTGGGCATTTCTCATTTTTCTGGATGCTATGGCACCTGCATGTTTTGCAAAAATACTGGCTGTGCTGTTTCTTTTACAGTAACGTTTTGATCATGGTAGTTTTTAAAAAAATGTGAAAACGTCACTAATAAAGTCATTTGCTGTTGCTTCTCAAAGGGAGTAACAGAACTATGGCAAAGGATATACAAGATTGTCAGTAGTGGTAATTTTAAAGATTTTGACAGTGCATCTGAATGTGATTTAGATTCAACTTCAGCAATCTCTAGTTTTTGGTCAGATGTTCTGTATGGATCTGGCTGGTGGCTTTCTTCAGTAAACCCGTGGTACTTTCTGTTCTTGTAGCCTGAAGCAGTAGGGAGGTATGATAGCCTCCCTACTCTTTTGCTCCAGTTTTTTCTGGGAATTTAAAGGTCTGTTGTGAAGATTAGTGGATTTTCATGTCTTTGATTAGAAGCATCAGCAAGTTGAAGAATGTGGATTTACCAGTTTAGCTTTTTTCTTTCCTGTAACCTGTTACTTCCTAATCTTTCTTTGGATTGCGGGCTGTTAGCTTGTGCCCATTCTGACTTTCTTTAAAAACAGCCAGGAGAAAGAGGCTGTAATAGTGTGGGAAGATCATAGAATCATAGAATTGTTTGGGTTGGAAGGGACCTTAAGGATCATCAAGTTCCAACCCCCCTGCCATGGGTAGGGACACCCTCCACTAGACCAGGTTGCTCAAAGCCTCATCCAGCCTGGCCTTGAACACCTCCAGGGATGGGGCATCCACACCTTCCCTGGGCAACCTGGGCCACTGCCTTACCACCCTCACAGTAAAATATTTCTTCCTAATATCTAATCTAAATCTACCCTCTTTCAGTTTAAAACCGTTACCCCTCATCCTGTTGCTACATTCCCATGATAAAGAGTGCCTCCTCATCCCTACTGTAGGCCCCCTTTAAGTACTGAAGGCTGCTATAAAGCTGGTAAATCATCAACTACTGCATGAAAAACAAACCATGCATCTGTTACACTGGAAAAAATGCCTGTTAAAAAAGCTAAGCTGCAGCATGTTTTTCTTCCAGTGGTAGGAGGGCTCTTGAAAGATGGTTAGAAGTAGTTAGTGATTAGAATGCGTGCATTTAGGTTTATTGCAGGCTTTCTAAAGTACTCTCGATGTCTTGTTTCTTGCAGAGACTCCAACCGTCATGTTAAGGTAAAGCAGAAAAGTGCAGTACTGAACATGCTAAAGAGGTTGGACAAAATAAGGTTCAGAGGTCACAAGAGAGATGAGTTCCTTGATTTAGCAGAGTCTCCAAATGCTTCAGACACTGAATGTGGAGATGAAATCCCGGTGAAAATACCTCGAACATCAACTCGAGACAATGAAGAGCTGAGAGACCCTGTAAGTACTTTGTTTAAAGTATTGTTATGTTATATAGTTTGCAGGCAGAAACATAACAGAAATTACTAATTCTTTATCCTTATATTTTGAATTTAACACGTGAAGATTTGTGGACTAGGAAGTAAGCTTTCAGTAACAGGCTTACGTTTTGTGGAGGGATCAATTAATTTCTTAGTATTCAGGTTCCCTGTCCCTACTATTGATTTTAGATGATGTGGGTTGACAGGTTTGTAATGTGCTTCTGAATGCTGTCTGGTTTTTATTTGTTTTGGTGAATTACTAACAGATCTGAAGTAAAGGTTTCTTTTTAGTCTGAGGAACTCGGATCTGCTCCAATGGCACTGGCCAGGACTGCAGGGATAAGACTTCTGGTGGCTTCATTAGAGTTAGAGGGTCATACTACCTTGTTCTTCACTGCAGTGTTGTATCCAGTAGTGCTTCAATGCTGTACAGCTGGTTTAAAGCTGTGCAGGAGGTGAGCAAGACTCTTCAGGTGCTAAAACTTTTTGGTGCTTTTAAGCAGAAGCACCCAAACAGACCTCCCTTTTTAAAGGACACTTTCAGAAAAGTATATGACTTGGAAGTCAGAATTTGTACCGCACTATTTGGAAACTCACCATGCGGTTTTTATCCTAAAAATGTGTCTGAAAGCTCATTTACAGAAGAACAGGGCTTGCTCACTGCAACTGTTAAAAGTAAAAGACTTCAAATTGTATATGCTTAAGCATCAATATTGAGTTTGGCAAGTTATATCCTGTTCTGTGGCTAAGTGGGCTTGTATGTTATATACACACAGTCCTACTTATATGGGGCTCTTTTGACAGAATTTTTATCCTATTATCATGGAACTAACAAGTGATAATGACAGGGCATTTTTCTGTCACAAAAAGTCTATTGTATGCAAATCCTCAAACTCCTCAGACAAGGAAGGTCTTTTGAATGCTGTTCCTTTGCTTTTATTCTGCTTATTGTTCATAGTGGGACTAATTTGTGCTGCTGCCCTTTCAACATGGTATTTTCTGAATTTTTTTGTGGCTTATTTTAATTAAACTTAAGGCATCATATTTATGTGTGGAGAGCAGGGTATACCCTTTGTATCTAATCAGAAGGATCTGAATGGCAGAGCTAGAGGCTACAGAAAGATCTGTCTTAAACCCTAGATGCTATTTTCTGTATTTGTTTAGGAGGATCATAGCTCCAGGATGGTGTGGCTGAGGGAATAGCGAGGTAATCCTACGGTTTTGACTATTTATAAAGCCTTACAGCTACACATCTGCAGTGATGGTCTCTGTTTTCTCAAATTGTTGAGCTCTGTGTGCTGAGAAAGTGATTTGAAGAGAAACACTTCACTTTCTGGTTGATTACATACTCTTAAATAGGCTGTCATGAGCTAAGTCCTTGAGATACAGTTGAGTATAGTTCTTTAAAAACAGGGAGAAGGAGAGGGAAGAAAGCAGCAACAACATCAGGCTTGTTGTTGTGTTGTGAGCCTGGTGTTTGGGAGCTCCAAACCCAGTGTGATGCTGGAGCAGCCTAAGAGCAGCAGCTGTGTTACAGATACAAGAAAAATAAGCAAACTTTTGTGAGGAAAGAGGTCTGTCATATGAGGGATAGATTTCAGAGGGGAAGTTTGGGGGATTAGCACTTGGCCCTCACAGACATCTGCCCACTAACCACTGCTGCCCATACATAAAATGAAGAGAGAAGAAATAATCCCCTGACCTTCAGAAGTGTTGGGAGTAAAGAAAGTTATGCTTGTATATTTAAGTCATTGTTAAAGTAGTGTCTGAGATTGTGTGAACAGGGCGATTCTGAACTATGTCTCCATTTCTTATTGAGGTCATATGATTGAGTTGTGCCTGAATTGGTTTTAATTCAGTAACTAAAACTCAAACCTTAAATTGCTTATACAGGGTGGTTTTCTTTGATAGGCTCTGTATTATACTTTTATTACCCTGATCATGAAAAGACCAAGTCTTGTTGGTTTCTTCCTCTTTAATACTTTTGGGGAGCTGCTGAGAATATACAAAAGTCAAGACAAGTCTTGTGCATGAGTTGAAGTTAGTCCGCGTGTCTTTTCAGGTAGATTGGAGCTGTACTGTCCTTCTACTTTTGTTGCTTCACTATTTCTATTAAAATCTGAGCACAGAACTGATGGGCTTGGAAGAACAAGACTGATGGGCTTGGAAGTGAGGCATGTAAAGTTTGAGTCCTGGTCCCCTTATCGGCATCTTTGATACGTAGATGTCTCTGACTCCACTGTCAGCCATTCTCTTGACAAGGGGTTCGTCTCTGCCCTTCTCTACTTTTCTTTCTTTCTTTCTTTCTTTCTTTCTTTCTTTCTTTCTTTCTTTCTGGTGTATTAATCGTTACAGAGCCATTAAAGAAGAATCTGTCTGTTAGAACAGTACAGCACAGTCATATGAATGAAAGGCCCTTCTGTACTGTGCCTCAAGGGTATGTAGTGGGCTTAGAAGTGTGCACATTAGGTGCCTCTTTATGTATGTGTCTGAACTTGACAGGCGTATGCAAAAACTTGCCACAAATGAAGGTTTTAGAGTAAAAAGCCTTGTCATAAAAGCTTGTGATTGTAGAGTTCTGACGATCTGCAAAGAGGAGCATCCTCTGTCACACACCTCTAAGGAGTGGAGTGAATGTTCAGTCTCAGGCCACAGATACAGCAGTGGGACTTTGTCACAGCACTTCACATGTCTTACTGAAGCAGCACATGTGAAATTTACACTGTGGATGGCCCGATGAGGTAATTTTATATTCTTTAGCTTAAAACTGTGCGCTTTACCTATTTAGTTCAATAGTAAACATCCTCACTCATGTTTGGGTAAAGCACACGACTAGGTCCTGGCAGGAGAGCCCTGAGGTTGGAAGGATTAGTTATTTTCCTTTGAATTTTCCTCAGTGGTCTCTGAGACTAGTTGTTCAGAAGGTGTCTTACTCTTAATTTGAGCTAGTTTGGTCTTAATTTACAGGCTGTTTGCTCTTGTGAGCACTTTTCCCCCTGTCATTTAAGTGCCCTGACTACCAGGTATATCTTGGATAGCAGCTACTTTCTTAGGTCTCTGTGGGTGCTTGGACACTGTAATCAGATCATTGTCAAGACAGCTGTGTTGGTTAATAAATTAACTCTTTGTTAAGCATCTCTTTCCATTCCTGAATGGCTTCCCAGATTTATTCCTCCTTTCCCTCTTTACCACAGGTGGTTGTCTGCATTATTTTAATTTTATTTTTTTAGAGCAAGGACATTTAGCACTGTATGCAGCACTGTTATTTCTGCATGGTTTTGTAAAAACACCACAGTCACAAAATAGGCAGAGGAAGTACCCTGGTCCATCCCTATTTCCTAATAGTGAATGTATTAGCATTTGTCTTGTTGTGACACTGTAAATTCAGGTAGTGCTGCTTGCTTGGTAACTAAAGTCCCCTTTATTCAGTGCCATCATGGTTTCCTGTTCTGCTCCACCGTTACCCTCCATGGCTGCAGGGGCACAGCTGCCTCGCCATGGCCTGCACTAGGGGCTGCAGGGGAATCTCTGCTCCGGCACCTGGCGTACCTCCTTCTTCACTGACCTCAGTGTCTGCAGAGTTGTTCTTTTCACATATTCCCTCTCCTTTCTCCAGCTACATTTGCTGTTGCACAGCAGGTTTTTTTTCCCCCTTATTAAATATGTTATCCCTGAGGCACTACCACTGTCACTGATGGGCTCGGCCTTGGCCAGTGGTGGGTCCGTCTTGTAGCCGGCTGGTGTTGGCTCTGTTGGACATGGGGAAAGCCTCTGGCATCTTCTCATAGAAGCCACCCCTGTAGCCCCCCTGCTACCCAAACCTTGCCACGCAAACCTGGTACACATACAAAGCCTGGGAGCATTCCTGATGAGTACAGCATCTTGCTCTTTCACCTGTACATGACTTTATTTAAATAAGTAAATATATTTATTTATTTGTAAGCACAGGCACTGCTTCTTTGAACAGCTCCATATGAACTCCTGCGTGCTAAGAGCAGAGATTGTCCCTTTGTACCGGATATACAATACAGAAGAATCACGTTCAGAAGAGTCACGTTAATGCCTGGCAGCAATCTGTGTTTTAATAATGCTTTCCTCTTGCCTGTCTGTAGAGCATGTTGTAAGGGTGCTGCTGTTCGACTTCAGCCGTACCTTCCTCCTCGGGGCTCTCCAAGTGTCTGGCAAGTGATAACACTAAATCTTCTGGTGTAGATAAATATAACCTGTAGATAAGAAATCAACACAGAGGTTAATTGCCATCCCATGCTCACCTGAAAACAGACACTCTGCGGCAGTGGCAGGCGTGGTTGCAAATGGCATGTCTTACTGCACCTCTCTGGCTAAAGGCAGGCGTGAATGGGAAATCTGGAGTGCAGGGAGGAGGATGCTGCGCTGCAGCTCCCTGTGTGAGGGCTGCCCTGGGGTCTGTCTGCCTCTGCCATGACATGGTTCCTGCTGGCTCCAAAATGGGAAGCAGCACAGGGCTGCTGCTGAGCTAATGGCTTCTGCTCCTCATGGGGGCTGGCAGCGTTGGCAGAGCACTGTGTGGGTGTAACTGTGCTGCTTTCGGGACTGGAAATAGCATCCCTGCCTGGTGCTGTATTGAGCAAGCCCAGATGGGGAGTTGGTGCCAGGTGAATGCCTACAGAGTGCTGATTTGCCTGTGTGGACAAATTCTGGGGCTTAAGCTCAGCATCTGTTCAGCTCAAGCAAGAAAGCAGATGTTTAATAGGTGTCTCCATACAGTTTTATTGTAAAAGGGTAAATCATTCCCAACAGTGAAAGGACTTTTCTGTCAGTGAGCTTTCAGTACATCTTTCTTAAAACATAAAAAATGTCTTTTAATGAACTCTCTTGTAGGTTAGTTCAGTTTATATATGTATGTAATTTAAGCTGTCCTGGTATGCAAGCTGACTTTTGAAAGCAGTACAGTTCCTGTACGTTTTCAGGGCTCAAACAAGGGATGGGGGAATGGTTAGGGTAGGTAAATAAATACCATTTTGTCTTGAGAAGATCATATCCTAGATGTAGGGTTCTGTAATTTAGCACTTCATTTCTGAGTATAAGCTGTTGGAGAAGCTCCCGTAATTCTGGTTGACAGGCTTCTTGTAGCAGGTGGGGACTGCACAGAGTGCCTGTGCAACCATTGTCCAGGAGTTGCCTTCACCCACCCTTTCCCCTGCAGTCTGAAAATGTCCATGTTGTGAGAGGACAGCGTCGCCTGCCTTTTGCTGTGTGGACTTGGGATTTTTCTGCACTCACTTCATGGAGGTGGCAGTTGTCATTGCTCTTATTAACTAACCAAGTTCTCTTTAATTCTCATGTTCTGCAGTAATTCCAGTGCTGAGCTCATTTGAGGGGTGCTGGTAAATCTCTCGAGACACACAGTACACTGACTCCCCTCTCTCATGGCCTGCCAGGATGAGCTTCTGGGCACCAACCACATCCTTCAGCAGTAACTGGACTGTGCTGGAGGTGGGGCGGCACTGGACCCCTGTGCTGATCTTCCTTGCAGGAAGGCTTCAGAATTACACATTCCATAAATGAATATTAAAATATACAATATGCATTTGCTAATAGCTCAGTAAATATCTAGAAAAGTATTACTTTTGCTAGCTTCACAGTTTTATATGTAAAGTATGTTGCATTGACTGTTCATTTAATGCAAAGAGGAGAGGGATAGTGTAAATATGCCTTTTAAATCAGAAGAAGAAAGGCTAAATGATGACGCAGCAAAAGTGGTAAGGGGGTTGGGGGGCAATATCTTTGTTTTCTGTAACTCACTGAGGTCTGCAGAAGTGTGTTCTGTGAACTCACACGGGAGAGATGCTGTGCATTTGATTAGCTTTCACTCATTTATTTTGGTAATTTAATGCTGAATAAGAGACATGCAGAGTTGTTGGTACTTGGACATTTCTTGTGTGGATGTTTCTTTGCTGCCCCAGAAGTAAGTTGATGTATTTAAATGACAAAAAAGCATGCCTCTGAGCTGTTAGTGTGTTCTGGCTTTCTTATAGGCTGGTCCAGGGACCATCATCATGGCTTCAGGAGTGCAGGATTTTAACAGAACGGAGTCTGACAGACTGAATGAGATCAAAGGTCACCTGGAAATAGCCTTACTGGAAAAACACTTTTTACGTAAGTATAAAATTAATGCTCTGCGGAAAGGAATGGCTTAAGCCTGCTGAAATAAGGCTTCTCTAAACTGCAGAAGTTGGCATCAGAATATTTGAGGTGTGCATGACACATGGGATGATGCTTCCCTAGGAGGAACTTAAAAGCATTCACAAGGTTTCTGGGTCACCTGGATATTTTTTCCTCATACCTCACAACATACTTTACTACATGACAGAAGCTGCTTAGTTGAAGTCTTGATGCTGACATCTTCAGGTTGTCTTAGAATTACCTCAGCCTTAATGGTGGTTCCAATAGGTGGTTTTTGTCTAATAGTAATTGTAAGAAGGAAGAGATTTCTGAAGGGGTGACCAGTACATTTCCTTGGCAGCTGTTTCAGCAAGTAATACATCTTAAAACACATCTCGTAACAGTATATGAATTACTGGTAAGTGGTAAAAGAAACACAGATAAAAGTATCTGTAGATTTCAAGTATTGCTTGTTTAGTTTTGTGTGTATGTATGTGTGTGTGTATACTTTTACATGAGACAAAATTGTCTTTCAAGGCTAGAGACACCCATAGGACTTTTGGTATTTTGTCTCAGCATATCTCAACTGCTCACTTGTGAGAGAGGATAGTTACAACCAAAAAAAAATGGAAGACAAGCATTCCTTTAGCTTGATAGAACTAGAGATCACTGTAATAAATCAACAAGCGTTCTTGTTCAGTTGCTTCCCAAAATGGTCATTTTAATGGATTATTTTTGAACTTCAGAATATGAGGGTTGTTTTTATGTTTTCAAAGGTTGTCAGATATTTCTAAGGGGTAGAAATAACAAGGATATAGATTCTATTCAATTTCTAGATTATAATCTAGCAAGATTTATAGTTTATCTTCAGCATCTTCTCAGGGATTTGAAATTAATTTTCTGTGACTTGTTTGTAATTTGTCAATATTTATTTGATATTTTTTCTCCCATGTGTATGAGAGGGAGGAATGATAAAGGAGACTGGTCAAGAATTCATAGCAAGCTGTTGTCAGCTTCCACTGGTGTCTGGAAGAGGTGTCATGATTGGAATATTAAGCAAAAACTGAAAGCTCTGTTTGACTTGCCTTCTTGGTTTCTGTGATTTATCTGAATTCTTATTTAACAGTGCAGTACAGAGTTACCATGTACTCCTTACATCTCCAAAGACATATTACTTAAGCTCCTGTTATCAAATTGTTTTTTAAACTAGATGGGACATTTGTGATGTCCTGATGTAATCTGTTGTGTAACAGAAGCAGTAGGACGTATTCAGCCTGGAGGAAAGAAGGCTCCAAGGAGACCTAATAGCAGCCTTCCAGTACCTGAAGGGGGACTACAGGAGAGATGGGGAGGCACTCTTTATCAGGGAGTGTAGTGACAGGACAAGGGGTAATGGGTGTAAGCTGAAAGAGGGTAGATTTAGACTAGACATTAAGAAGAAATTTTTCACTGTGAGGGTGGTTAGACACTGGAACAGATTGCCCAGGGAAGTTGTGGATGCCCCATCCCTGGAGGTGTTCAAGGCCAGGCTGGATGAGGCTTTGAGCAACCTGGTCTAGTGGAGGGTGTCCCTGCCCATGGCAGGGGGGTTGGAACTAGATGATCTTTAAGGTTCCTTCCAACCCAAACCATTCTATGATTCTCTGACTTCCCAGAACTGATTTCTGATTTGAACTACGACATGCATTTTGCTATAAAAACACGATATGGTTCCCAAACACTTCCATGGCTGGTGAATCCATTCTGAGTCCTTAGTATGTGGTTACAGTAACCATGTGGGGCACACATTTTTATGAATATTTTTACTCTTCAGGTTCATGCTGTAGTTTGAAAACCTTCTGATCAACCATTTTATCACTTTCAGCTGATCCTTCTTCCTTTGTGCAGACCTTTGTAGTGAACTCCAAGGTAAAGGGTAACAAAGCTCACCCTTTCATGCAAACTCTGAGCAGGTGGTTGGAGGGTCAGGCCAACAGGGGCGTTCAGCTGGGTGACGTGGGTCAGTCCTGGGTGACTCCAGCCCTTGCTGCTGGGTCAAAAGCTCTCTACCAAAGCCTGAGGTTTGCTGTAGCTGCAATTAATAGTGTTGTCCTGCCAAGCTGGTTGTAACTCTGCACATAAAAACAAGAGAAAGAATGGTAAACTGGTAGATAAATAAGCATATAAAACTCATTCCTTACCTACCCACCCACCTACTTCAACATTTTGGACTGAAATACATAACTCTGTTGTCAGTTGGAGTGAAGTAGGAGCTCACTTTTTGGATATGGTTTCTGTATTTCTCTATTTTCTTCCTCCATCTCTTTGAGCTAAGGGGTTTTTTTGGTACTAGAAATGCTTCACAATTTTTTGTTTCTTCCAAAAAGTGAGCAGAAAAACATTCTTGAAATGTGCAGTTTGTTTATTTTGCCCTTGGAATAAAGCCTGTTTTTTTTTTTTTTTTTTTAATGTCGTATTACTGCAATAGGTGTTTTAAAGAAGGCTAGTCACTCAGCTGTATTTGCATACTATTTTTAGTTATGGAATTCCTTAAGGACACCTTTCTTTAACTGTATTTTTGCATTAACTATTTGTCACTTCCTCTTACTCCATTTCCTCCAGCTAGGTGTGCAGAAACCAAACCAAGTGCTAATATGTGGGGGAAAAATTTAAAGCTCCACAGATTTGCTTTTAACATACTGAGTTTCTGATCATGGTCAGCCTGTTCTTGACTTTATTTTTGCCTCTTCTGTGCCTCTTATTTGTATAGGTGTGTTATTAGCCAGGAGGTTTAAGGAGAGATTTCCTCCCAGCTATATGTTGCCATAATGTACCCATACACAACACAGCTACAAGTCAGCGTGGGTTTGTAGTTGCGAGTGTCTGGCTAAAGGAAGAGCAAACTGCTCTTCTTCTCTGAACTCCGTTCAGACATTAGTAGGCACAAGTAAAACGTGCAGTTTGACTGGGTAGTGTTTTCATGGATACACAAACCTAACTAAGCTCTACAAGCTGCAGAGGAACTCTGGAGCACAGAGTTAAAGGAGACAAGCAGTTGTCTGTGAAGGGAAAGTATCTTCATCTAATGCCAGATGAATCTCTTCCTTAGCGAAGAAGTAATCGAAACATCGGGAGAGGTGAAGATGGAAAGGAATTGCTTAGTGTGTTGCGTAGCTGTAAATGCAAATAAAATGTGCCTGGAAATGCGACTGACAGGAGGATGAGGCATGTGGAGGAAAGGATCTTGGATAACAATGTCTTAAGGAAGGGAGGGATCAGCTGAGTCTTCCAGCCAAAAGGACTGAATTTGCTTTTCCTGTCTGTGCGGGAATGGTCTTAATCTCTGGAATCTAGTGGCTCCTTTTGAGCGTTATTACAGGAACGCTGAAAACGTGTGTGTTGGGTCTGCCGAGAACACGGTATGGGGTTGGGTTCCTGCAGAACAAGGCTTGAATGCCTGCTGAATGAAAAGTGCAAAGGGCTTATTTTGCTGGGCTTCCGAATGCATGTGGATGGAAGAAGTTTCGTCTTGGAGCTGTTGCCATCAGAATCATCCATTTCTAAAGGACTTTGTGTGTTGGTATAATTTGTGTTTAATGCATGTGAGCGCTGCTGGCTGAGGGTTCAGGCAGGGAAGGCAGCTGCTGAACTGGGGCAGCTAGGTTAGTATGATAAGGTTAGTAGTGGTTTTAGTGCTTCCATCTCAAAATCTGGTTGTATCTCAACAAGAAAAAACTCGCTTGCTGCTCTTATGTTTGCCAGACAAAACCATAGGTAATATCTTTTTGGGTTTGCACCTTCCCGTTGCTGTTTGTGCCTGGTTGTAGAGGGCAGTTTTGCTGATATCAGCACTCTGGTCTGGGTCCTACCAGGTGCTTTGTAGGCATGTATGCATCCCATGGTTTATGTGAAGCATTATCTGATTCTCATTCAAGCATGTTCAAGCTTTTTGCAATGCTAATTTTAGCAGCTCAGGGAAGAGGAGGTGGTGGTAGCAGAAGCTAAGAGTAAATAAACCAAGTGACTGTTAGGGAAGAGGGTTAGTCATAAACTGGTCAAAGAAGTCAAAAGAAATGCAATGCAAGGATGAAAAGCTTTAGGAGGAAATAAAGTCCTCTCCAACAGGGGTTTTGCATTCCACTCTGCACAGCAGGCTGTGGCAGGAATCTCTAGGGGCTTACAAAACTGCTGGTTTTGGTTATGGTTTTTGTACCATCATCCCAAAAGAAGTTGGGATTAGGCTTCTTTCCCATTTAAATTTCCACTTCCCCATACTCTTCATTCTCATGTGCCTTTTTAAACCTTGTATGTGGCTGACTTCACAGTGTTTTCATTGGCTTCTGCTTTTTGATATAAATTACCCAATGATTCTTTGTAAGAAGAGTGACCGAGCAGAATACAGACCTCGTTAAAGTAGAGCTCTAGAAAATAGTATTTGGTCCTGGGGTGTTAGAAAGTGATAAACATTAGAGGCAAAGTGTGTGGTGGTGGTTGTGACCAGAAAAAGACCTGTACTACAAAGACCTCTTCTGTACAGAAATGCTAATACCTCCTTGAACAGCTGTAGTAATTGTATGCAACAAATTGACAATGAAGCTGAGTCAGAGTCCAATTACCAACTGTGTCAGAACACCCTTGGTGTAATTTCTCCTGACATGAAGGTCAAACACCTGCTGCAACAGCAGACCTACAGAAGAGCAGGGGAATAGCTTCACTGCATTGAATTTGCTGTCTTCTTACTGACCTGGCAGACTGTAGTCACCTTTGGTTCAGAAATCTTGAAGCAGAATAAAGAGTTGATTTCAGTAGCAGGTGAATACCCTGGTAAGAGCAAAGTAGCTGCTGTGTATTTCTGAGCCACCCAAATGCTGGCTGTGGGCCACAGCAGCCATTCTTTGCTGGATGGTCAGCCCTGGCCAAGGGATCCTGGTGCTGCAGTGTGGGCTCCCAAATAAAGCGTGCGGAAGCTGGCAAGCACTGAGGCTGCTGTGGCAGTGGAATTTACCCTGGGATTC